CACTTTCTCAGCTAGGATTGATAGTTCTCCCCAAGGGCTGTCCATCTACGACGGCCATCAGTGGGTCTCCTTCGGTTGTGCCCAAGACACACTAGGTGGGTTGGGTGTGTGGAAGTTCTGTGGGTACAGAGAAGCACCTGGCCTGGCTCTGTGAGACCTTTGTGAGAATGCAGAGCAGTAAATGAGCATCTGTTGCTTGGGGGTTCTGGCAGTCCCCCCATCCCTGGATTTGGATCTTCACTGGAATGGATCCATGGGGGTGTGTGCTTCCAGAGTGGCAGGTTGGCACACTCCTGGAGATAAAGTGGTGGAGGAAGGGTGTGCTACAAACAGCCCTCCTCAGCCAGAACGCCCTTGTTTGCTGAACACATGACTTCCGTGTTTCCATGGGCGTTTTCCCTCAGCTTGGGTTTGCCTCTGAGCTCCCACTAGTCAAGCCAGGGCAGAGCCCCATTTATTTATGTTTTAAACTTAATTTCTTGAGAACAGAACAAGCATTAACTAAGAGCTGACTATGTTCCAGACACTCAGTTTTTTCATTTAATTCTGACAGTAGCCAGTGTGGTAGGTGGTAGAAGGGACCTAGGAGGCTCAGAGACTCAGTAACTTGCTCAAAGTAATGCAGCTGTCTGGCCTCAAAGTTGGCTTGTTCCAGACCACCAGGTCCCCACCCTGAGCTGGGAGTGAATCCAGGCGGGTGCTAAGCCCGGGAGGTGGGAAAGCCAGAAGCCCTCTGGGCTGGAGGGATGGACTCACGCTCCTAGTCTTGTCAGTGTTTAAGGACCACTCTGGGGTGGGGTGCAGGGGACAGGTATCCTGCCACCAAGATGGCAAGACTCCTCCTTGGCTGAGCCAGCCAGGAGGGCTTGGGGGCCCCAGCGCATCACAGTGTTGTGGTCATGCTCTGAGTTCTTTTGGGAAGTCTCTTTGTGCGTCCCTTGTCTCACCCGTTCTTTGAGGTAACACCATGAGTTAGGTTGGGCAGGTGCCCCCGCCCTCCAGTTGAGGAAATGAGGTTGAAGAGGCTGCCAGGTAGTCCTCTCCTATCTGCCATTCAATTGTTCTCCAGGACAGATGTGCCTCCACTGCAGATGCCCGGGGACCACAGGCCACAGATGAATCTTTGCTCTTTTACTATATGACCCAGGATCCCTTCAAAGAGAACTCCTTCACTTTTTGATTTGTTATTTTACACATAAGAAACAGGGCAGCTTTCCTCTTCTCTTGGCGAGGGTGTATGTCCCTGTTGAGAAAAGTGGCCCTAGGTGAGTCCTGGCCACCCACAGAGCTAGAGGGAGTGGTGCTGGGGGAAGCCAGGGGTCCAGTCTTCCAGCTCTGGCCTCAACCTGGTGTTAATAGGCCTAGAGAGACTGTCCATCCTCACCACCTGTGACTACTTCTGGTCACTCTGCTGTTTCCTGGAAAGAATTTGTAAAATAAGTTTGCATGATCCTATCTGAGCCCATGCATGACAGAGTTACACTGACGATCTGTGGTTGTACCTGCAACGTCCTGGGTGAAATGATTATGGAGTAGACCCTGGGGTCTCACAGAGCCGGGTGGGTCCCAGCTCCACCATTTACTATGGTGGATTTCTCAATCTGCCTGAGCCTCAGTTTCTAATCTGTAAAGAGAGAATAATGATTCATGGCCCTGACCCCATGAGGCTATTGTAAGGACTAAGCGTCACTAACACGCGTGGGCTCAGGGCAGCCTGGCTTACAGGCTCAGCGCACATGGTAGTTTTGTGGCTGCTGTGGAGAGAACTCTGTGCTCAGTCTCTGTCGGCCCCTGGACCTCACAGAGCCTTAGTTTACTCATCAGAACCCAATGACGCCCAAGTCTTTGCAACTTAAAATACAATTTGATTCATGAACACATAATTTAAAAAAAAATTATTTGTTGTTATTGTTGGGAATATACACAGCAGAACATAAACCAATTCAACAATTTCTACACGTACAGTTCAGTGACATTGATTACATTCTACAACTTAATGAACAGCAATTAAAAAAAATTTTATTGTGGTAAAAATAAATAACAAAGTTTGCCGTTACAACCATTTTTAAGTGTATAATTCAGTGACATTAATTACATCCATCATTGTTAAAAATGGCGTGGTGGCAGACCTCCTTGTCTAATTTCAGGGGGAGGAGAGACAGCTGAACACTAGGCATGTTATGTGCGTACCGTGGCTTCCTGGTGGAGTGGAGTGCCTCCGGACACTTATCAGCAGAGCTAAAGAGCTTTGTAACACTTGCCCAGAGCAGGACAGAGGCCAGGCCTGAGCAGGGCGTAGTAGCAGAGGCCTGCCTGTGGGCATGGCCAGAAAAGAAGCTGCCCTGATCATAGAACTGTTTCCCGAGTTGTTCCTGTTACTTCCAAATTGATCCTGATCCTGAATTGTAAGCTAATAAACCCCATAATTGTGAGTATAGTCTGTGAGTTCTGTGGGGCAATTACAATGAATTCTGGAACCCAGCAGAGAATAGGGAGTGCCCTGGGAGGAATGGCTGGTATCAGAATTTTTAAAAAGGTTGGAGAGTGGAGGTATGTCAGACCTTCACCTCATAGGAATCAGGTTGGGGCTGATGCAGATCTTGATTCTCCTCTCTCCCCTTGCAGTTAGACAAGGTCTGATGTCATGCCATTTTTACAATCATGTAATGTAATCGTCACCGCTATCTACTTCCAAAACTCTTTCATCACCCCTAACAGAAACAGTACTGTTAGCAGTGACTCCCCCTCATCTACCCTCAGACCCTGACAACCTCTAATTTACTTTCTGTCTCTATGCATTTGTCTATTCTAGATATTTCATATACGTGGGATCATAAAATATTTGTCCTTTTGTGTCTGATCTATTTCACACAGCATAATGTTTTAAAGGTTCATCCATGTTGCAGCACATATCAGAACTTCATTTCTCTTTATGGCTAAATAATATCCCTCTGTGTGTATATACCACATTTTCTTTGTCCATTCATCTGTTGATGGACACTGGGTTTCCACCTTTCGGCTATTGTGAATAGTGTTGCAATAATCATTGGTGTACAAGTATCTGTTTGCATCCCTGTCTTCCCTTCTGGGTATATACCTAGGAGTGGAATTGCTGGGTCCTGTGGTAGTTCTGGAGCCCTGGTGGCGCTTTGGTTAAGAGCTTGGCTGCTAACCAAAAGGTCAGTAGTTCGAATCCACCAACTACTCCTTGGAAACCCTATCGGGCAGTTCTACTCTGTCCTATAGGGTTGCTATGAGTTGGAATCGACTCGACGATAACGGGTTTTTTGGTTTTTATGGTAGTTCTGTTTGACTTTTTGAGGAACCACCACACTGTTTTCTATAGAAGCTGTACCATTTTATATTCCCACCAGCAAAGTACAAGGGTGTGAACACTTAATTTTGGCACAACTATTTTGTTAATAGATTGACATTTAAGCCAGGAATGCCAGCATTAAAATTATTCCAACTGGAACATTGCCATTTCCCTTTAGGACCATCCCTGGCCTTGGGCTCCCCAAACACTGGAGATGGATATGGTACCAAGGTGAAAAATACATATGTATAAGATCTGCATGGACAAATTCCAAAAAAAGTTGTTAAATGATATAAAATGCCTGGTGTGTGGGGTGGGGGGGCGGGTGGCACTCGAGAACTGGTTGACCACCAGCAGCCAAGGTTCCCATCTCTCCCCTTCTTGACTATCAGAATGACTCTTAGTACTGGTCTGTCCCTCAAAGGACCTTCGTTCTGGCCTGATCTCTTCCCCCTTCTCTTTGCCTCAATCCAGTCACAGCCACCAACATTTACTGAGTACATGGGCCAGGAACAACTCAGGCCCTGGGGACACCAGGGCCTCCACAGTACTGCTGGCTGCTCACCTTGTTATAAACTCCACTAACTTGGAGTAGATTGTTTTCCATTGTTTTAATGGGTCAGCCCAGCACAGACTTCCTTTATCTTTGGCAATCTTCCTATTCTTAATGGCATGCTGGGAATATTTGCAGAGTCAGCAGGTTCACTTTAGCAGCAGATTTCAGGGTTTATTTTTATTTATACCCTCCTCGTTCCAGAAAGGACTTCAGGCAGCTGAAATTAAGATCCTAACTCAGTTCTGAGTGCATGTTTAATTCAAGGAAGGGTCTAGAAGATGTTGGCTTTTCTGCTCCCACCCAGCTTGGCATCTGGGGTAGCTTGGGTAGCTGCCCGGAGCACAGATTCTCGGATCTCCTGCCCTAGCTTTACTTAAGCTCTGAGACTTTGGGGCAAACAAGTTCACCCTTTGGGCCCCATTTCCTCATCTGTGGAATAGGGTACCACTCTTCCTCCCTCTGGGTTGTTACAAGGTTGCGTGAGTGAACACTTGTGAAGTGCTAGCCCATGTCTGTACTTGTACCCTGGATGAGCTTCTCTGATGAGTGCTAACAGGCTGGGGGAAATCCCAAATTGAGAGCTTGGCAGTCACACACAGGCTTGTCCTGCTCAGTAGTGGGGACACTGGAGCAATTTGTCCTCCCCCGAGCCTCAGGTTTCTCATCTGACTTTGCTGTGGTTTGGGGACTTTCCTACAGATGTGGCCTTGGAAACTGCCTCTCTGCTCTCTCCTCACCTTCTCACACTTCCTCACTCTTGCCTCCAACGACTATCCTGGGAAAGCCCCCTCAGGGCCTTCACCTGATGGCCTGTTGGCTGCTCTCTGGTCTGACCTCCCCACTGAGCGGCCACTGCAGTTGTGACTGATGTGGGGTACTGGGGGCTGCCTTTGCCAGCAGACCATCAGCTCCTATGGGCAGGGACTGTATCTGCTATCCTGGCTACCATGCCAGGTAAGTGTCCGTCCAAGTGCTGGCCGGCCCCTAAGTGCTCCGGTATTCTGATGGAGACTGGGGGTGCTGCTGTATGTTCCTAAGGGGGGCAGCCGGGTGGGCGACTCTGTCTGTTGGGGGTCTTGGGGAGGCTGAGCGCACACCCTGACTGCTTCCCTCCTCTTCCTTTTGCAGAGCCCATGACAATGGTGGTGCTACCGGCCAGCTCAGAAGCCCAGGTACTGTTACAGTAATTTTTAAAATTACCTGATGCGTGTTGGAGATTACACGTATTGTACAATGCGACTATAAAGCATGTAAAGAATGTCACTGTTTCAGGAAGGGAACAGGTGGGACAGGGCTGAGCACACAGAGCATAGGGTAAGACGCACCCACAAGTGGTGAGGACCCTGAGCCTCTATGGGAGCCATTCCCACCCTGGCCTGGGGGCAGCAGGAAGCAATGATACACTTAATATTCTAAAATAATATGAATAGAAATGTGTATCAGTAATTCAATACGTAGTATCAGTTAATTCAACAATCTTTATTAAGGCCTCTACTATGTTGAGTTCGGAGCTATGTTTGGGAATGCAGTGATGACTGGCATAACCCCTGCCCTCAAGGAGTTCTGGGGACAAATGAAATCCTAATCTTTTTTTTTTTTTTTCACTTTAATAGTAATATAGCCACTCCAGCTTTCTGATGAGTTTGTTTACATGGTACATCTTTTTCTTAGGATTTGTGTTTACATGGATATCTTTTTCTGATGATTCATGTTCACATGAGACATCTTTTTCCATTCTTTTACTCTTTTTGTGTGTGTCTGGATCCTGGGCTGTGAGGCCACCTGGACCTGTGTGCAAGGTCTCAGGACAGAAGCTCAGTCACACCCCTGTCACGAAGGCTTTTAAAAGAGACCTGCCATTTCGGTTTTTAAATACTTACAAAGAACCTTGAGCTGGGGGGTCCAACTGGGACTCTCTCAGGGGCCTGTGAATTAACATGATACACCGGTCCCTGGGAAACACAGCCAGAGCTGCTTATCACGTTAATCTAGCTTCTCTATGCTGGATTTCATGAAATGCCATAGTTTCAGTGCAAGATCTGTCCCTTTCAGTTGCAGGGGCAGGTCTCTGGGCTGGCAGGAACTCAGACTTCTCAGATTCCCACATCTGCGTCCCCTAGCCCAGGGGTCCTGGCAGGCCCAGCTGTGGGCGAGGCGGGGCTGGCAGGTGCCTAGACTCTGGCCAGCTGCCCAGATTTGTCCTTGTGGGAAGCAGCAGTCTCTCTGCCTTCCAGGGAGAGTTTCCAGGGAAGGCAGGGGAACCAGCAGCATCAGATAAGAGGCTGGGATTGGATTAACCCTTTGGTTACCGCGCAGCACTGTTTAAGGCCAGTGGTACTGGGAGAGGCAGTCAGGTTCCTGGAGGCCCTTCGTATTCCACCCTTGATCTCCACTGCCGTAGGGTAGTGTGGTCTCCATGGGAGTGAGGGGGTCAGAGCCACTGGACTATGTGATGGTCCCACCACCCACCTCTGGGCCAAGAATTATGGGAACTTGTGTGAACTGTGGCTCTTGCCAACCCTAACCCACAAAATGAACAGCCCCCTCCTCACAGGCCGAGCCCATCTTTATATGGGGTGGGGGTGGGTGGGTTGGGGGTTCTCACCAGGGGGCTGCTGCCTAGGTGTTCCACTCTGGCCCGGTAGGGCCCTGCCGTCATCCCCCGAGTGTGACCTGTCCTGTCGAGGTGACTGGTCATCAGATGTAGAGCAGCCACACCCTCTGACCCAGGCTGCCTGGCCCTGCTCTTGATTCCTGGGTGTGACTCGGAGCTGGGTGGTGACCTGCTGAGATAAGCGCACTCGAGGAAGGCTGGGCCTCTGTTGACTGTAGGCTGGGACTTTGCTCCCATCAGAGGCTCACTCTTCCACCTGCTCCCAGGGCCTCCTGGGTTTTTTCTAAAATGTTTCCCCAGGAGGCAGGACAGAGGAGGCCCATGTCCTCGAGCTCTTGTCCCTCCCTGACTCAGGCTTTCAACATCTGTTCTGCCCTGCACGGGGAGGCTCAGGTTCCCTTAGCCCCAGGGTTGGGTACACAGGACACCAGGCTCCTGATGCCTCCCAGAGGGCTTAGTCAGGGGCCCCTGAAGGGGAGTGAGAGCTGCCTGAATGGCAGCAACAAAGAAATCTACGCAGCGTGAAGCCTTGATTCTGGCTTCCTGCATTCCTTGTAGTGGGTGTGAATCTGGTCCATGCTGGCTGTTCTGTTCTACGGTGGCGGCGCAGTGTCCCCTTGTCAGGACACAGCAGCTGTGTATCCACTCACCCACTCACCGTGGAAGTACATTTGGGCTGTGTTCAGGGTTGACTTCATGGGCATTCAAGGCCGAGTCTTGTGTGGTCATGTGTTTACGTTTCTCTCAGTTAAATGCCAGGAGTGGGATCAGTAGGTCACATGGTAGATGATGTTTGGAAAGTGGCTGAGCCATCTGGGGCACAGCCTTTTAGCTGTGCTGGGTTCTTTGCTGTCCCACGTGCCACAGTCCAGTCCCTTGAGCGTACAGTTGGCTGTTTCTATTTCACTGTTGCCAGCTGTGCTGTGCCTCTCTCGTGGTTCTCATGTGGTGATGTGCAGAAGGGTCTCCTCTCCCAGCCTGTGATTCAGGACAGGGCCCCGCTGTCCCTCTGCTGTGACTCTCCCATCCTGTGGGTCCCTAGTCCACCTAGGCATTCAGCTCTGCCCTGTGGGTGCCTTGCTTGCCCGCTGACCTCCTGCTCTGTGGGTCCCCTGTCCACACTTGCTGGCCAGCTAGGTGCCCTGCCCTGCTGTGTGGGTGCCCTGCCCCAGCCCCGCCTTGTAGATACCCCGGCCCCTGCCCTGCCCTGCCCTTGTGGGTGCGTGGCCCTCCCGTTGACTGCCTGCTCGCCCCGTAGATGGTGCAATCGTTGGGCTTCGCTATCTACCGTGCGCTGGACTGGGGCCTGGACGAGAGCGAGGAGCGTGAGCTCAGCCCGCAGCTGGAGCGGCTCATCGACCTCATGGCTAACAGCGACAGCGACGATGGTGGCTGTGGGGCCGACGAGGGCTACGGGGGCCCAGAGGAGGAGGAGGAGACCGAGGGTGGCCCGCGTACCGTGCGCACCTTTGCCCAGGCCATGCGGCTGTGCGCTGTGCGCCTGACTGAGCCTCGCTGTGCGCAGGCGCACTACCAGGCCGTGTGCCGCGCGCTCTTCGTGGAGACACTGGAGCTGCGTGCCTTCCTCGCCCGCGTGCGCGAAGCCAAGGAGGTGAGGCCTCAGGGCAGGCAGGGCATGGGTGTCTGCCCCACACCTCCTCCCTGCCCTTCCGTCTGTCCGGCAAGGAGTCGGAGGCCTCCGCGGGAACGCTCACCGTCACTTACAGAGGGGTAGCCACAGCTCACCGTCTGCACCCCGTGCCGGACAGTCCTAGAGCTTTATGCATTTTAACTTACTCACCCACACAACAGCCCTCCCCGCCGTGCACGGGTGAGAACGATCTGGAGGAGGCAGGGAAGCTGCTAGCTTTCTTGAGCTTGGGTGGCAGAAAGTATTTTTGAAACTACCAGATGCTGGTCCCTGATTCCAACCTGACCCTTTAAGGGTTCCTGGCCAGCTTCCCTGACCCTGTGGGGCCTGAGGATGCCCTGGGGATGGCTCTGTCCAACTGGTGGGGCCTGGGACCCAGGCAGAAGTCAGTCAGAAACTTGCTTGGGTCACTTAACACCTATTAACAATGTGATCTATGCCCCCAGGTTAGGTGCTCCTTCTGGGTCTCTCAGGCCTGTCCCCACCCTCCTTGGTATGTCAGAGGTGCTATTCGAGTCTTCCTTGATTAGCTGATTGTTTTAATGCTTTTGTCTTTCTCACTTGAAGTTAGTCTGTGTCCTTTTGCTAAGATCAATTCCTCACCCAGACAATGGCAGCTCTTTCTTTAGCAAGAGCAAACATCTCTAGACCTCAGGAAATGGCCCTTGGAGGAGTCTGCAGAACTGGTGGTGGGAGCGCTAGCGTGGGCTGGCATTTTGGGCAGACACAGCCTCCTGAGGGCCAGTGTGGGCTCTGCAGGGGGATGAGAGAGCTGCCTCCACACCTTCTGCCCGGAGGGACCATCAGGCCACACACCCCGCTCAGAGAATTGGCAGTGTTTTGTAGAATGTCCCAAAGCAGATTGGCAAATGGCTTGGGGCTGGAGCCAGGGTAACCGATTCTGTCTTGGTTGGGAGTTGGCAGGGGGGTGCTGTGTGCTAAAGGGTAGGTGCTTCTCCAGGGTGGGGGGAGTTGGTGAGTACAGAGGCCCCCACTGCCACAGAGATCCCAGGCAACCATGGAGCAAGTCCAGCAGCTTCTACCCAGATTCTCAGCATAGGACATTACCTAACAATCCCTAACACCCTACTTGGGCCTTGACACCAGTGGCAACATTTTTCCTAATTCACCAAATACAGACCTGTGACTGATTCCCAGGACTGGCTGAGTGACTCACTCGCCCTCTCATCTGCCCACCCATTCACCCTTCCACCCTTCTACCCTTCCACCCATCCATCCATTCATCTACTTGCTCACCCAACCAACCCATCCATTCTCCATTCGCCCATCACTCATCTATTCACTTATTTATTCATTTATTTCAACTCGTATGTGCCACACTGTTCTAGCTGCCAGGAATCGGAAGATGAGAAAAAAGAAAATCAGAATATATGATTCCTGGCCTCATGGAGCCCATGGTCTAGTGGGGGCAACAGCTGTTAGAAAAGAAGCTGATCAGCATAGTATCTCAGCTGGGCTCCTGGGCGAGGAGGGACGGTGAACATGTGGCTAACCAGGTGGCTCAAAAGGGCAGGCCCTGTGGGAGGAGTCTGGGGGCTCTTCACAAATGAGCTGAGGGCCTGTGTTTGCACCTGAGGTTGGGGTGGGTGGCCTCCTCAGTGGGATGTGAGTATTAAGTGGGAGCAAGGTGCCTTCTGCAGACTGGGAGAGCCGTGGATGTTCGTTGTCATCCTGCCTGCCCCAGCAGAAGGCGCCAGAGAAAGTTACATAATCCGGGCCAATAGGTTTGGCAGTAGCCATGCAGTAGGGACCCACAGCTCATATCTGCTATCCCCCACTGTCTACTGGACTCATGAGGCCTGGCCTGTGGTTGCAGATGCTCCAGAAGTTTCGGGAAGATGAGTCCCAGGCAGAGAAGCCCCTGGCAGAACTCAACGACCTGGGGCACACGGACTGGGTAAGAATGACCGCCTCCTGCCTAGACACAGGCCAATCCCAGCTCTCCCCTAGTCCTGTGCTTGGGAAGTTGAGTGCGAGCCCTGACTGAGCCCTCAGTTGTCCTCCTCTGTGCACAGGCCAGACTCTGGGTGCAGCTCATGCGGGAGCTTCGCCGCGGGGTGAAACTCAAAAAGGTACAGGAACGGGACTTCAACCCACTGCCAACAGAGTTCCAGCTCACGCCCTTCGAGATGCTCATGCAGGACATCCGTGCCCGCAACTACCAGCTGCGGAAGGTCATGGTGCGTGGGGCGGGGTCAGGGTGAGGTCAGGGGTGGAGCCATGGCTGAAAGTCTGTGTGCCCTCCACCCCTTCCTCCGTTTACCCTCCATCCCCCACTCCCAGCAGTAGCTCTGGAGACCCTCTTCTGTGCTGGAGACCAAGACAGGCCCTGGGCTATAGAGTATGAATGAGGCAGATGAGGCTCCTGCCTCTGGGCTCTCACTCATGTCCAGGACACTAAACAGTGTGACAAGGGCAGGAGAAGATGTGCAAGGTCTGGAGGGTGGGCATGCAGTGAGGCGCAGGAGTTTCTCTCTAGTATGTGCAATTCTTGCCGCAAACAAGCTCATTTCATTCTTGCCACATCCCACAAGTGGGCGTTCTTGACCCACGTCCAGATGAAGACCCCAGGGCGCAGGAGGGTCAGGCAGCCTAGCCAGTGGCAGTGCCGACCCTGAACATAGCCACTGCTGTGGAGTGTGTATGCATCAAGCCGTGCACCCATCCAAGGAGGCAGCGGGGTCCTGGGTGGAGGCCATAAGAAGGAGGCTGGGTGGGGGCCAGGCTGAGGCCGGGAGCTGCATGACCCCGAAGATGCACCTTCGGATAACAGGGCCAGTCCTCAGCCTCGGCTGCCTCCCGGTCTCCCCACAGGTTGACGGGGACATCCCTCCCAGGGTAAAGAAGGACGCCCATGAGATCATCCTGGACTTCATCCGCTCGAGGCCACCGCTGAAGCAGGTACCGACGGCCTCCCTCCCCTACTTCCTGACCCGCTACAGCACCCTACGCGGTGTCTTAGTGCCATCTGGACCCCACTAGTGAAGGAGCCCGGCCCCCTCTTGCCCGTAGGCATGGAGCATCAGACACCTGCCACAGTCCTGAGACTTCTTCCTCTGGGGAGGGACCAGTGGTCACTGCCTTGGCTGTCCCCACCCACATGGAACCCCTCCTGCTCAGTCAAGCTGTGCCTGCTCCTGATGGGTCCCCCAGGGTTCCTCAACTTGGCTGGCTTCTTCTGGCAACCTCCTCCCCACTCCACATCGAGTCACAGCCTCCTACCCCCATGCACGGCTACATTTCTTGCAGGTCTCAGAGAGGAGGCTGCGCCCGTTACCACAGAAACAGAGGACCCTGCATGAGAAGATCCTGGAAGAGATCAAGCAGGAGCGGAAGCTCCGGCCAGTGACAAGCTCACCCTGGGATGTCCGTGGTGAGGGCCTTCGCCCTTCCATGCATGTGCACTCTCCCCCGTCCAAACTTACTGTCCCCCCACCCCACCTCCATGCTCACTGTCCCTCCTTCCATGTTCACTCCCCCCAACTCCTCCAGGCTCATTGTCCCCCTCCACACTCGCTGCCCTCCCACATTCACTGCCCCCCTCTCCAGGCTCACTGTCCTCCCACCCCTCAAGGCTCACTGTCCCTCCCACCCCTCAAGGCTCACTGTCCCTCCCACCCCTCAAGACTCACTGTCCCTCCCACCCCTCAAGGCTCACTGTCCTCCCACCCCTCAAGGCTCACAGTCCCCTCTTCCCCTCCAGGGTTTGGCTCTCTGCCCTGCATCCTCAACGTCTGCTCTGGAGATGTTAAGTCCACTTCCTGCGTCAACCTGTCCGTCTCAGATGCCAGGAGCAGCACCCAGCGCTCGCGACCCCGGGTCCTGCTTAAGGCACCCACCTTGGCTGAGATGGAGGAGATGACCACGTCAGAGGTCAGAGCGCACTGAGAGGAGGTGGGATGGGGTGGAAGACAGCTGAGGCTGAGCAAAGCTTGGGGCAGGGAGCCCCCTCCTCCCCCAACAGGAGAAGGCTCGTGTGGAGGTGATGCAAGTGAGCTGTCTCTGGGGCCGAGAACCTGGCAGCTCTGGTCAGTCTGAGGAGCCACGCACCCCAGCCCAGTCCCAGAGTGGTCCTCTGTGCCGCCCCCCGCTTTCTGAGACCAGGGTGACAGCCTTGGCTGGTGGCCATCCCAGCAGGCTCAGCCTCCATCTGATACCTGGTCTGTCGTCTCCACATTTTCCTTAAGGCCTCGGGGAAGGGTCTGTTTCTCGAGGTGTCTGCCCATTGCCTGGGTCTCTGAGGGTCCTTGTGGGTCCCCTGGGTCCCGGGACCTGGGTCTGGGGAGGGGCCAGGTGCTGGGGACGGAGCGGTCAGGGCTGCATCTTTGCAGGAGGAGGAGTCCCCATGCGGGGAGATGACACTGAAGCGGGACCGCTCCTTCTCGGAGCAGGACCTGGCCCAGCTCCGGAGCGAGATGGCCTCAGGCTTGCCGACCTCTGAGTCCTCAGCAGGGAGGGAGCTGCCGGCCAGGCCTCGTGCAGGTAGTGTGCATGCCTGGAGGCCCAGCACCCAGGACCATGGCAAGTGCTACGCCCACCCCAGCCCCTTCCTCAACCCTGCCCACTCGCCTATCCACCTGAGCTGGCAACACTGGGGTCTCAGTCCACACCCCCTTAAAGCCTCAGGCAGCATCCATCCCCCTCCTTTTTTACTTGAAATTTTTTGTATTAAATAATCCATATTCATTATAAGACATCTTGTAAATAAAATTTAAGACAAAAAATAAATTCCCATATTATCTAGAGATAATTGTTATTAATGTGCTGGGAGATAGATACAGACATACATATAGATAGATAGACAGATTTTACCAGTTGCTACTAAGTCTGTCTGGACTCATGGATACCTCAGGTGTGTCAGAGTACAGCTGTGCTCTACAGGGTTTTCAGTGGATGATTTTTCAGAAGTAGATTGCCAGGCCTTTCTTCTGAGGTGCCTCTGGGTAGACTCGAATTTCCAGCCTTTTGGTTAGCAGCCAAGCATGTTAACTGTTTGTACCTCAGTTATCTATGTGTCTAGCTCTATAGACAGACAGACAGATACAGATAGATTAGATAGACAGAGACAACTATGTCAGTAGGTAGATAGCTAGACCAACAGGCGGATGTAGACAAACTCTTCTAGTCCTTCCTGTGTGTGGAGTGCGATTGCCCATAACAAACCGGGTAGGCGTACACAGCACATCTACGTCCTGACGGGCCTCCATGCTCTTTTCCAGGTTCCTTCCCTGTGAGCTCTCAGGCCTGGCTGGATGCTGGCCCACCCCAACTCAGCAGCCTGGGTGCAGTTGAGGAGAGGCCTGAGGCCGCTGTGGCCCTGGACAGCCAGGCCAAGCACCTGTGGCTGGTGAGTGAGGGATGCAACTCAAGGGCCTAGCTGAGTTGTCCAGACCAGGGCTCTCTCTGTGCCAGCCTAGGGGGCTCGGGGCAGGGGCTCCCTTGAGCCCCAGGATGAGACAACCGGTGGTGTTCAGGAATGACGGTGGCTTTCAGTGGTGTGCGGCTGATGTGCTTTGTGTAGAGCAGCTGGTGAGCTGCCATCTTGGGAAGGTTGGCTTCCGCTGCTACCTGCTGGGAAGTTTTGGCACTGCGGCCTGAGCCAGAGGAGGCCCTTGCTAAGGGACAGCCAGTGTCTGAACCCCTGCGGAGTCCCCGGAACCCCTGTAGGGGCTAAGACAGATGACAAACGCGATGCCTGTGCCTTTTAGCAGGTTGAGAGACCTTGACCCCTGGTCCTGACTGCCATCATGTTGCTTAACCTCTCTGCGCCTGGCTTCCTCAGCTGTGAATTTTGTCTGCTCTGTAATTGTGAGGGTCTAACACTTGTGATGTTTTGAGGCCCTCCCCCCACTGCTTGGACTTGAGCCTCGCCAAATAATTTTCTTAGCGACTCTATAGGACAGAGTAGAACTGCCCCATAGGATTTCCAAAGAGCAGCTGGTGACTTCGAATTGCCAACCTTTTGGTTAGCAGCCTGAGCTCTTAACTGTACCACCAGGGCCCCCTTAAATGGAATAGTGGGGGTCAAGGCACTTGGTGAACCTCAGGGCATCCACAGGGGTGTAGGGGTGGTTAGAGGTGTCATCATCGTATCATCATTTTCTTGGGGTCTTATCCAGAGGCTCAAATGAGAACAGATGTAAAAAATACTTTATAAATGTAAGGTAGTGTTAAGCTTGACTCTTTGAGTCCTGTGTTAGTTAACGGTGGCTACATAACAAATTACCCCAAACCTAGCAGCTTCAGACAACAGACACACCCCACACAGTTTCTGTGGGTCAGGAGTGGCTCAGCTAAGTGGTTCTGGCATAGTCTCTAAATAAATCATTTCTTTTATAAGAATTAGCACAAAGCTGGTTATTGTGAGGCAGAGGTTAAAGATGTCCTAAATGACCAGCTTCTCCCAATTGCTGTACCACTCCATCATCTCTAACACCAGCCATTCCTCTTCACCTCAGTACTGTTCTTCTCATCTTTGGGTTTAGTAATTCGCTACAACGTCTCATAGAACTCATGAACTGTACTTATGATTATGGGGTTTATTAGGGAAGTAACAGGTTGCAACTAAGGATTGGGATCAACTTGGAAGTAACAGAAACAACTCAGGATACAGTTCTTTAATCAGGACAGCTGCTTCTCAGCCTCCTGCTGCCAGACTCTGGTTGGGCCTTGCTGTCACTTTGCTCTGTGGGCCGGGAAGCCCACTGTAGCCATCTCACGCCAGTCACCTGGTTCTCGCTGCTCATGCTGCTGCTGCTCTTTGCAGTGCCGTACCTTGTGGTCTCTCGAGGTCTTTGGTGCTACAACCCCTTCTTCTTTCTCTTTTCGTGTCTCCCTTTCAAACCTCTGTCAGGGAAGCTGGTTATATAGCAAGCTCCTGATCAATTTCAAGGTGCCCCACCCCCAGCAAGACCAAGAACTAACCAATCTCTTACAAGAGTTCCATGTACTTTATTTGCTTAGTTCTCCCCCCAACCCCCAACAAGGGTCTCATGCACCTTATTTGCAGTAGCAGGTTGTCCAATCCCCTTGGTGGTCCACAAGCACCTTATTTGCATGGTCCCACCTAATATTTTGTGGGAGTTACATGACCATGGCTAGAAGGGCCATATAATAGTAATTCACTGTACCACAGCCTATCATAAGGTTGCCATTAAGATGTCAGCCAGGGCTGCCACATCTAGGGGCTCAGCTGGGGCTGGACGATCTGCCTCCCAGGTGGCTTCTCATGTGGCTGTTGGCAGGAGGCATCAGTTGCATGCCATGTGGGCCTTTCCACAGCACTGTCTGAGTGTCGTCACAACACGGCAGCTGGCTTCACCCAGAGTGAGTGGTCCGCAAGAGAGCAAGGTGGAAGCCCGTGTCTTCAATGGCCAAGGCTCAGGAGTCATTTCCACCTTAATCTGTTCATTACAAGCGAGTCATGAAGTCCAGCCCATTTCCAAGAGGAGGGAATTAAGGGAGGGATGTCAAGCAATTAGTGGACATGTTTTAAAATGACCACAAGTCCCCTACATGTTTTTTCAGCTCTCAGATCTCAGCAGTGCTTTCTGAGAGTTTTGGGTATTGATCGTCAAAGAATCCCAGTGATTTTCTTCTTCATCTCTGCCCTGGTTCAACCTACACTTGCTGAGAGTGTGCCACATGTGTCAGGGGCCAGGGGAAGCTGAGATACTGATTAATTGCCTGACGTGGGGAGCAGGCTGCCAGTTTCTCTTGGATGTGTTGTATCGTGTGTATTGTATTGTTTAGAGAGTAATTGTTTAAATTAAACAGCACAGTGAGTGACAGTAGACACTGAGGGCAGAGTGTCTGACTTGGACCAGAGTGGAGGAGAATGCAGAGGTCTGACTCTCCCCCGATGCCAGACATGTTCAACACCCCAAGTAGGATAACCCAGGCAAATCTGAAACAAAGATCATTATCCAACTTCCACCTTTGCGGCACCCCCTGGGTCAGTGCCCCCCTCGCCCATCCTTACCTCAGTAATAGTAGCCAACATTGTTGACCTCTGTGTGGCAGGCATTGTGTATTTCAGTGGAGCTCAAGTACAGCCCCATTTTACAGAGGAGGAAACTGAGGCTCATAGAGGGTGAGTGTCAAGTTCTGTGCTAGGCACTGGGAGGCTCAACAGGGTGCACTCACACAGTAGCTGCCTGGGGAAGCAGGCTGCCATGACGTGTGGGGACATGCTGAGTGCCAGCTGGGCAGACTCTAGGCTCGTGGTATAAGTGTGCTCTAGGAGGGTCATGCACGCGCAGGGCTCCCAGGACCTTCCAGTGGGGATTGGCTGCTAGGAAGGAGAGAGCTCAGTGGTGAAATCGCCAGGAAAGGATTCAGGAAGGAAGATTCAGGATGGCCCTAGAGACCCTGGCCAGATTCCACAACTTGTGGTGGGTGGGGCCTATGGGGTGGGTGGGGCCAGAGGATGTGGCAGGGCCCTGGGTGGGGCCTTCAAGGTGGTGGGGCCTTTGGGGCCCTGGGACCCTTGAGGTAGGCGGGACCCGTGAGGTGGGTGGGGCCCCGGTATGGGTAGAGCTGGAGGGGTGGGCAGGGCAGCTGTGGCTCCCCTAGGCTCCAGGAGAGGACCTATCCAGAAAGAAATGGACACCTTAGGCTCCCAGGCCAGCCAAGCTGATGAACGGGTGTTTTAGAAAGTTGCTGGGCTAAACCTGGACCAAGACCAGGAGGACATGAGAGTCCTCAGTGAAGAAAGCCACTTGGGTGAGGCTCCCACTTGAAAGGCCTGGTCCCTGAGGTCCTGAGTGACCACTGACCCTTGACTCTCCTGTTCCAGGAGTTCAGCCACCCTGTGGAGAGTCTGGCGTTGACTGTAGAGGAGGTGATGGATGTGCGCCGAGTACTGGTGAAGGCTGAGATGGAGAAGTTCCTGCAGAACAAGGAGCTCTACAACAACCTGAAGAAGGGGAAGGTGAGGCGGGAGGAGGAACCCAGAGGGACCCTAGGACTGCCTCCTCACTGAGGGTGGCAGCCCAGGACTGCCCCTTACTGGGCAGGAGTTGTGGGGGACAGATGAAGATGAGGGAGACTCCAGGACTGCCCTTCACTTGGTAGAGGGGGGCACAGGTGAAGGGGGGGGATACCAGCGAGCTTTGGACAAAATTAGGCTCTACCCAGTCTTTTCCCTACAGATTTGCTGCTGCTGTCGAATCAAGTTCCCACTGTTCTCCTGGCCACCCACCTGTCTCTTTTGCAAGAGGTGAGCCTTTTTGTTAGCACCTTGGTTGTGAATTAGCATGGGCAGAGGAGGTAAGAAGCCTCTAGGCCAGCGCTGTTCAGTAGAAATTTCTGTGATGACGGGGCACTGTTTTGCACCATGGCTGTTGTCTTTGAACCGTGGCCAGTGTGACTGAGGCACCGAATATTTAATTTAATTTAACTTAATGTAGGTTTAAATAGCTAAGGGACTTCCTCTTTCAGCCAAGATGGGGTAACAGCACCAGATTTACCCTCACACCTGAACAGCAACAACAAAAACCTGACAAATAATGTCAAGCAGTGTTTTTTTTTTTTTTTTTTAATTGTGCTTTAAATGAAAGTTTACTGTTCAAATTAGTTTCTCGTACAAAACTTTATATACACACTGCTATGTGAGCCTAGTTGCACTCCCCATACTGTGACACCACACTCCTCCTTTCCATCCTGGATTTCTCGTGTCCATTCAACCAGCTCCTGACCCTCTCTGCCTTCTCATCTTGCCCCCAGACAAGAGCCGCCCGTTTAGACTCATGTATCTGCTTGCGCTAAGGAGCACACTCTTCACAAGTATCATTTTATGTCTTATAGTCCAGTCTAATCTTTGTCTGAAGAGTTGGCTTTGGGAATGGTTTTAGTTTTGGGCTAACATAGAGTCCAGGGGCCATGTCTTCCGGGGTCCTTCCAATTGCCGTCAGACCGTTAAGTCTGCTCATTTTACTAGAATTTGAGTTCTGCACCCCTTTTCTCCTGCTCCGTCAGGGAGTCTCTGTTGTGTTCCCTGTCAGGGCAGTCATTGGTGGTACTTGGGCACTGTCTAGTTCTTCTGGTCTCAGGCTGATGGAGTCTCTGGTTTATGTGGCCCTTTTGTCTCTTGGGCTAATATTTTCCTTGTGTCTTTGGTGTTCTTCATTCTCCTTTACTCCAGGTAGGTTGGGACCAATTGATGCAGCTTAGATGGCTGCTCGCTAGCTTTTAAGACTCCAGATGCCACTCATCAAAGTGGGATGTGAACATTTTCTTAATAAACTTTGTTATGCCAGTTGACCTAGATGTCCCCTGAAAGCATGGTCCCCAGACCCTTGCCCCTGCTACTCTGTTCCTCGAAGTGTTTGGTTATATTCAGAAAACTTCTTAGCTTTTGGTTTAGTCCAGTTGTGCTGACTTCCTCTGTAGTGTGTGCTGTCCTTCCCTTCACCTAAGGTAATTCTTGTCTACTGTCTAGTTAGTAAATACCCCCCTGTCTCCCTCCCTACCCTCGTAACCATCAAAGAATGTTTTCTTCTGTTTAAACCTTTACTAGAGTTCTTATAATAGTGGTCTTATACAATATGTGTCCTTTTGTGACTGACTAATTTCACTCAGCATAATGCCTTCCAGATTCATCCATGTTATGAGATGTTTCATGGATTCATTGTTATTCTCTATCGTTGTATACTATTCCATTGTGTGAATATACTGTAATTTGTTTATCCATTCATCTGTTGATGGGCACCTAGGTTGTTTCCATCTTTTTGCTATAGTAAACAGTGCTGCAGTGAACATGGGTGTGCATATTATTTATTCATGTGACGGCTGTTATTTCTCTAGGATATATTCCAAGGAGTGGAATTGTTGAATCGCCAACATTTATTTTTTTTGTGTTTTTTGGATTAGTGCTAGTCTTGTTGGGGTGAGATGGTATCTCATTGTTATTTTGATTTGCATTTATCTAATGACTAAAGATTGTGAGCATTTCCTCACGTGTCTGTTAGCCGCCTAAATGTCTTATTTGATGAAGTGCCTGTTCATATCCTTTAACCATTGTTTAGTTGGGTTATTGGTCTTTTTGTTGTTGAGGTTTTGTAGCATCTCACAGATTTTAGAGATTAGACCCTGACTGGATTTGTCATAGCCAAAATTTTTTTCCCAGTCTGTAGGTTGTCTGTTTACTGTTTTGGTAGAGTCTTTTGATGATCATAAGTGTTTGATTTTTAGGAGCTCCCAGTTATCTAGTTTCTCTTCTGGTGTTTGTGCGTTGTTACTTATAGTTTGTATTCTGTTTATGCCATGTATTAGGGCTCCTAGTTGTCCCTATTTTTTCTTCCATGATGTTTATCGTTTTCGATTTTATATTTAAGTCTTTGATCCTTTTTGAGTTAGTTTTTGTGAATGGTGTGAGGTGTGGGCCTTGTTTCAATTTTTTGCAGATGGATTTTCAATTATTCCAGGACCATTTGTTAAAGAGACTGTCTTTTCCCCAGTTAACAGGTTTTGGGCCTTTGTCAAATATCAGCTTCTCATAGGTGGATGAATTTATGTCTGGATTCTCAATTCTGTTCCATTGTTCTATGTATCTGTTGTTGTACCAGTATCAGGCTGTTTTGACTACTGTGGCGGTATAATAGGTTCTAAAATCAGGTAGGGTGAGGCCTCTCACTTTGTTCTTCTTCCTGAGTAGTGTTTTACTTATCTGAGGCCTCTTCCCTTTCCATATGAAGTTGGTGATTTGTTTTCCCATCTCCTTAAAAAATACCATTGGAATTCGGATCGGGATTACATTGTATCTATAGATTGCTTTGGGTATGTGATGGTTACGATTGTGTCACCTTGGCTGGGCCATGATTCTCAGTGTTTTGTCAGTTGTATAATGTTGTGATCACTTCCCTGTTGAAATGTGATATGTAATTACCCCGTGATGGAATCTGCTAAGTAGTACTGGTAGGACGGGGCCTGTGGCAGCTCACCACCCCCTCAGCCTTCATCTCTCTGCCCTCTGCTGGCTACTTCCTTCCTACACGCCTTGCCAGGGTTTTTGGCTTGTTCCAGACCCAGCAGCTGCCTCTTGTCATCTCACTTCTGGTTCTTGGGACTTGAGCTAGCAGTTTTCCTGTTGATCTTGGGATTCATCAATCTTCACAGTCTGTAAGCAAGAGTCCTGCTCCCCGACCTGCTGATCTTGGGTTTGCCGGCCCCTGCAGCTATGTGAATCAGGAGAAACCTTGTGGTCTTGCCTGCTGGTCTTTGAATTCGTCAACCCAGGCTGTGAGCGGGAGCCCTGCTCTCTGACCTGCTGATCTTGAGTTTGCCAGCTTCTGCGGCTGCGTGAATTGGGAGAGACCTCTACCCTGATCCACGGACTTGGGACGTTCTAGCCTGTACAATCGCGTGAGCTGTTACCTTGATGTAAATCTCTCTCTATATATACTTATACGCTTTACTGGTTTTGCTTCTCTAGAGAACCCAGCCTAAGAGAGGGTAGAATTGACATTTTCACACTGTTGAGTCTTCCTATCCATGAGCAAGGTATGTTTTTCCACTTATGCACATCTCTTTTGGTTTCTTGCAGTAGTGTCTTGTAGTTTTCTTTGTATACGTCTTTTACGTCTCTGGTTAGATTTATTCCTAAGTATTTTATCTTCTTGGGGGCTATTATAAATGGTACTGATTTGGTGATTTCCTCTTCAAAGGTCTTTGTTGGTGTAGAGGAATCCAACTGATTTTTTTATGTTTATCTTGTATCCTGATACTTTGCTAAAATCTTCTATTATTTCCAGTAGTTTTCTTGTGGGTTTTTCGGGGTTTTCTGTGTATAAGATCATATCATCTGCAAACAGAGATACTTTTACTTCTTCCTTACCAATTTAGATGCCCTTTATTTCTTTTTCTTGCCTACTTGCTCTGGCTAGGACCGCCAGCACAGTGTTGAATAAGAGTGGTGATAAAGGGCATCCTTGTCTTGTTCCTGGCTCAAGGCAAATGCTTTCAGACTCTCTCCACTTAGGACCATGTTGGCTCTTGGATTTGTATAAATGCCGTTAATT